TTGCCTTTGCTGGGCAGTAGAAACAGTTCCCTTAGCTTGAATGGTGCAAACATTTTCCTGGGAGTGAGTGCACAGATCCTTTTAGCCTGAAACACTGTGTCTGAGGCTTCATAACATCTTCTGTTAGGATCTGCCATCAATCAAAATCCATAAGTAAGGTTTAGTTGTTTATGACTTGAGATCCTCATGGGTGTCAGTTGTCATAGAAATAAGAGCTGCTGCTAAAGGCTAATGTGCCTTTATGAAAATTTCAGCAGGGAATTCAATTTACACTTGTGCATTTGCATTGTTGGCTCTGACAGGATCCTGGATGACATAGAGGTCTATGAAGAGCAGATTTCATTCAAACTGGAGGAGCTCGTTACCATCTCCTCCTTCCTGAACTCCTTCGTGTTTAAGATGATCTGGGATGGAATTGTAGGTAAGTGCTTTCAGTAGCTTGAGTTGATGTTACTGCTAAAACAACAAACAGCATTAATTTGGGAAGTTGAAGCTTCTGCTACTTATTACTTGGCACAAACCTCACTGCTAGATGGGAATATGTCCCAGTTTTGATGTCCAGATGCCATTATCATGCTTGGCACCAAACACAGAGCAGTTTTCTATTTCCAGTAAGGGTTTGTGTAGCAGGCATGATGGGCATGTTGGGGTTTGGCAGAGATGAAGTTCAGCATGGCTGGGCCATGTGTGGCACAAGAGCAGTGCTGTCACCCAAGCAGAGCAGGTTGAGATAGCTGGGGTTGGTCTCTCTGCTGGTATAATTTGGGTACAGCTGGTAATTAGAAGAGATAGTCCATAGAATCATAGAGTTTTAGGGGTTTGTGTAGCAGGCATGATGGGCATGTTGGGGTTTGGCAGAGATGAAGTTCAGCATGGCTGGGCCATGTGTGGCACAAGAGCAGTGCTGTCACCCAAGCAGAGCAGGTTGAGATAGCTGGGGTTGGTCTCTCTGCTGGTATAATTTGGGTACAGCTGGTAATTAGAAGAGATAGTCCATAGAATCATAGAGTTTTAGGGGTTGGAATGGAGAGAAGAGATAGTCCATAGAAGCATAGAGTTTTAGGGGTTGGAATGGAGCTTAGAGATGATCCAGCCCCAACCCCTGCCCTGGGCAGGGACACCTCCCACCAGAGCAGGTTGCTCAAGGCTTTATCCAACCTGACTGTGAACACTGCCAGGGTTGGGGCAGCCACAGCCTCCCTGGGCACCCTGTACCAGTGTCTCACCACCCAAGCTGAGTTCAGTTGTGAGGTGAGATGGCTGTGATATAGCTCTGATCAAAGCAGACACTGTCTGTCTCCTGGCAGGCACAAAATCCTTCCCTCCGAAGGCGGTGGAGGTTGGGAGAACCACACCTGCCCTGCTAGTGTGACCAGCGTGTTGCTCTTGGACACTGCTGTGGCCTAGGGTGCCTGACCATTGCTGCTTTGTTCCTGTTGTGCAGAGAATGCCAGAGGGGAGACCCTGGAGCTGTTCCACTCGGTGCACGGGTGGCTGATGGTGCTGTACGAGCGGGACTGCCGCCGGCGCTTCGCTCCCGAGGACCACTGGCTGCGCAAGTGAGTGTCCAGCTCGGGGCAGGGATCTCCTGCAGCTTGTCCCTGTGCACTGCTCCTCTCTGGAGCCTGGTGTGGCACCCTTTACTTTCAATTCCACCTGTGAGATCAAGGTGAGAGCTGCTCCCCGTGTTGCATTAAGGAGGCTGCTTGCAGTGTGGTTATTTTTTGTGGTGTGAGGATCAGGTGATGCTTTGAAAACTCACTCAGTGTGCAGGAATCACAGAATCACTCAGGTTGGAAAAGACCTCTGAGACCATCAAGTCCAACCTGTGACCCATCACCACCTTGTCAGTTAGGCCATGGCACTGAGGGCAACATCCAGTCTTTCCTTAAACACCTCCATGGTGACTCCACCACCTCCCTGGGAGGTCCCTTCCAATGCCTAATGGCCCGTGAGTGTCTCTGGCCTTCTTAGGTGTGTACACCTGAGCACTGAAGTCATCTTTGAAATCAGTACAGGTTTCTTCTCTCCCACCCCCAGCTATTCCCCACTCCTGGGCCTTCCTCTGGAATCTCTGAACCTCTGCCTTTCTTTGTAAAGGGACCTCAAACCCAGTGTGCTCTTCCAGGAGCTGGACAAGGACAAGAAGCGAGCCCAGCTGCTCCTGCAGTACATCCCACACGTCATTCCCCACAAGAACGTGAGTGGGATGGGGAAGAGGGTGGAGGCTGAGCCAGTGCCTTGGGGTCTGGGATGGAAGGGACATGTCTTCAGCATTTCATGACATGGAGCTTGGGATGAAATTCCAGCTGAATAAGTCTTCTCCTGCCTGCCCACTCTCCTCACGATATTTACTCTGGAATGACTTGATTTCTGCTGAGAGAGAACTGATTTGTGTGGGCATCTGTGAGGAGACACCCAGTGAGGAGGTGGCAGTGGCATCAGTGGGGTCAGGACAAGCAGGAGCTCGTTCTGGGTGTCAGGAGCATCCCTGCTGCCCTGCAGGAGAAGGATCCTGGTGCATGAAGACTGACATGTGTTTCTTTTTCCAGAGGGTGCTGCTTTTCCGGAACATGGTGACAAAGGAGAAGGAGAAGCTTGGGCTGGTGGAAACCAGCTCTGCATCCCCTCACGTCACACACATCACCATCCGCCGCTCTCGCATGCTGGAGGTGAGTGACCTGTCTGTAGGAGCCAACCAGCCACTTTTCCTGCAGGAATGTGGGCTGTGAGAATGGTTTTGCCTTGTCTGAGGGACCCAGAGCCAGTTCTGTGTCCAGTGATGTCTCAGGAAGGTGCTGGATCTTGGTTCAGTCCAAACCTGGTGCTCTGAGTAGAAAAAATGGAGGTCTTTTTGGCCACAGAGTTCAATGACAACTGCAGAGCTCTGTGCTGTGCCTGTCTCCTGTCCCTCATGGTGTTCCACATGTCTCCCTGTGTGATTGTCCTCTGGATGTTCTGCTCTCTGCAGGATGGATACGAACAGCTCCGGCAGCTTTCCCAGAATGCCATGAAGGGAGTGATCAGAGTGAAGTTTGTGAATGATCTGGGAGTGGATGAAGCTGGGATTGATCAGGATGGAGTCTTCAAAGAGTTTCTGGAAGAGATCATTAAAAAGGTGTTTGACCCTGCACTCAACCTGTTCAAGGTATGACACAGGTGCTGACAGTGCTGACCCATTGCAGCAGGAGCAGGTTGGGTCACTGCTGTTATCCCTTTGTGTGCAGACAACCAGTGGTGATGAGAGGCTGTATCCATCCCCAACATCCTACATCCATGAGAACTACCTGCAGCTCTTTGAGTTTGTGGGCAAGATGCTTGGGAAGGCTGTGTATGAGGTGAGCCAAAAGCACTGGTCTTGTCAGTGTTGGTGCAGCTCTGTGGTGGTGACTTTGAGAGCATCTGTTGTGCATGGGGAGGTGTTACTGGACAGGTGAGTTTGGGAAAGGGACTTGGAGAAAGGTAGAGATGGTGGAGCAGAGTGGAATTTCTTCAGGCATGTATTAAAAATGGTCTTGGAGGTAAAACCTGGGACACACCATTCCTCATGGTGCTGGAATAGTCTGTTAGTTTGGTGTCACACCCCATTTGTTGATATCTGAAAGGGACATGTGGCTAACAGGAGGATGGAATGACAGATTGACCATTTCCATGGAATCATAGGATGGTTTGGATTGGAAGGGAGCTTAAAGCCCATCCAGTCCCACCCCTTGCCATGGGCAGGTACACCTTCCCTCAGCCCATGTTGCTCCAGGCCCCATCCAACCTGGCCTGGAACATCCCAGGGATGGAGCAGCCACAGCTTCTCACCACGCTCACAGGGAGGAATTTATTCCATGTCTCTCACCTAAATGTATCCTGATTCAGTTCAAACCATCTATCTAGTTCTTTTAAAGGACACATGGAGTTCCCCAGGGACCATTGGGCACCTGCTCCACTAATTAATGGCTTTTAAGAGGATGTGGTTTCCATAGCTGATGCCAGTGCCTTGCAAAGATGCACTTTGCACTTGTTGCACATCACATAACCTCCCTGCAGGCCTCACAGGTAACCAGGGATGTTTCACACACCAAGGTAGGACCTTACCTGTGCATTCTTCTTGTCCATAGGGAATAGTTGTGGATGTGCCATTTGCTTCCTTCTTTCTGAGCCAGCTCCTTGGGCACCACCACAGTGTCTTCTACAGCTCTGTGGATGAACTTCCCTCCTTGGACTCTGAGTTCTACAAAAATCTCACTTCAATTAAGGTTTGAATATTACTTTTCCTGTTGGTCACCTCCCTTACCCTGCTGCTGCTAGAAAGAGTAGATTACAAATGCTTTGTGGTACTGATCTACTTTGAAAACACCCTGGAACCACTACTGACCTTCCTTCCCCTTCCCTGCTCTTCTCCAGCGCTATGATGGTGATATCAGTGACCTGGGCCTAACACTGTCCTACGATGAAGATGTGATGGGTCAGGTAGGTTTTCATTCAGTGAGGTGTTGGACCTTGTCTCTGCCTTGCCCCAGACACCTTCTTGGTGTTGGAATAAAATCACATAATATTCTCAGCTGGAAGGGACCCAGAAGGATCATCAAAGTCCAACTCCTTCCTGGTGTTGAGCAGAATTCTGGGCACTGTTAGAGTCCACAGCCCTGGAGCAGGCAGTCCCTGTTCTCCTGGTTAGATCCCAGCTGCCCCACGTGGGAGAGTCTCCTGGTGCTACCAGGAAGAGCCTTTGAAGCCTTAAGAGGGGTCCTGAGGATCATTGCCCACTGCTGTGGGAAAGGCTGTGGTGCCAGGAGTGCAGACTTGGTGCCCTGAGAGCAGAGAAATACACCTGCAGTCAGATGGCCAGCAGAAAACAGGTAGTACTCTCTGCTGAGCTCTCTGAGCTCTGTTCCTGAGCATCTGAAAACCAGACAGTGTGTCCCAGCTCGTGGTACTGCTGTTTCTGAGTGTCAGGTGGATGCTCTGCGTGGCCCATCCGAGCAGGAATCCCGAGGGGACTGACTGGTAAATGACCTTGTGTTTGGTTGTGGTGAGGGCTGAGCTCTGCTCTCCTTCCCCAGCAAGTGCCTGTGCTGCAGGGCTGGCTCAGCTCCTCCAAGCTCAGCCACAGGATGCAGTATTTAGCTGTGGGCAGAGAACAGCTGTTCTTTTCTTCCACAAAAAGGTTGCCCTCTGCCCCTTAATTTCTCTGCTGCCAGGGCTTTTTCCTTTCTAGTTGAGAAAGTGTTTAATGCTTTCACTGCATAAGTGCTTTTCCCCTCTTTGCAAGAATAATCTGTGAATAGGGAGAGATTCCTTTTCTCCCAACACAGCTGTTTCTGTCAGAGAACTTGAAGTGTGTCAGGAGGTCTCTTGGCCTTGAGAAGAAAAAGCTGTTTGTCAGTCCCTTAGGAAGGCTTGAAGGTACTTGGTTGCACTTGAGCTCTGGGTTCTGTGATGTTGTGTGTGCATAGCTGGAAAATCTGGGGAGATAAGATAAAGTTGCCTTTGCTGTCAGTGTGTGCTGTTGTGGCTGCAGAGTGCACAGGGAGCCCCAGCCCATGCTCAGCTCAGGCACTGAGAGCAGGAAAGATCCAGTGGCTCAGAGACCACTGAGTCAGGGAGTGTTTGTGGGGCAGCTTGTCCTTGGGAGCTTTGCATGCTGCAGTTTTACCCCTCAGCTTGGCAAGTTTGGAGCAGCTTGGATAGGCCTGAGAGCAGCAGTAGCCATGCAAACACACCTGCCAAGGTGAGTGGGAAGAGCTGAGTGGTCATCCAGCCCTGCTGTGCACCATGTCCACTGCAGGACACCTTGCTGCTGCCTCAGGGTCGCTGAGCTTTTGGCTTTGAGAGTGTTTCCACGTGGCACACAGAGGTAGGAAGCAGCACAGGGAGCTCAGCATTCAGGCACTGAAGGCTGCAGCACAGGCAAGGTAAAAATAACCCGGGCACTCCTGTTTCCCTGGGCCTTGGGAGGCAGCCAGGTGGGATAATCATGGATGAACTGTGTCCCTACTAGGTACAGCTGTTGGGCACAGGTGAGCTGAGCTTGTTCCCTATGCTAGGGAATTCTCCTGGAACCAAGGCACAGAGGCCACTACTGTGGGAATAAAGACTTTCTGTGACTGCAGCAAACACCTGGGGGGCCCCAAGCTGGTAGATGAGCCCCAGGCCCTGGCAGGGCAGGGAGGAGAGATCCTGTGTCCCTCCATGGCCCAAGTGCCAGCTGGAGGGACCCCTGTCCTCCAGGAGTTGTCACCCCAGAGGTCCCAGTGAGGCCTGTGGAGCAGCCAATTTGGGATTGTGCTGTTAGGCTGAGCTATCCCAGGCTCTGAGCTTGGATTCTGGGATTGTGACAGTCCCCCAGGGCTCTTGGAATTGATTTGTGTTGTTCAGCAGTGATGGATCACACTGGAGAGGAGGTTTCCTGGGAGAAAGGCTGGTGGAGACCCAGAGCTCCTACTGCTCAATTGCTCTGTTAGTGGTTAAGTGAAGCTGGTTCAAGGCAGGAGCAGGATTATTACTTACATTTTCAATCCTACTGTTTTATTGTAAAAATCAATGTTTTATGGGGAGGGAACAGCTTAGCATGGCATTTCCTTCCTTCATGCTTCCAAGCAGTAATTAGCAATCCAATCATTTCTCCCCTCAGCTTGTGTGCCATGAACTTGTTCCTGGAGGGAAGACCATTCCCGTTACCAATGAAAATAAGTAAGTACAGCAATTAGATTTTTTTTAAGGTCACCACTGCAAAATACTTTATTCCAGTTCCTTGGGCTTGCATGTGGAATGAATTGAGATGGATTGGAGGAGAAGGAGCACATAAATATCTTAATAGAATTTGCTGGTTACAGTTCATCGGCAGAAATTGTATTAAATCTGATTTGCAAAATAAAAATTGACAATTTACTTCTTGAAACAGCATTTCCGAGGTCAAAGGCACGGAGGCAGGGAGGTGCTGCAGGATTTAGTGACGGTGATGGATGCAGACAGATGGATTCAAAGCAATTGAGGCACACAGTGGTGAACACAGAGGGCACAGATGCTCAAAGACACCTTGGAGCAGACAGATCTCCTCAGAATGATAACATGTGGCAGTTGTATAAAGCCCCACGCTCAGAGCAGACACTGCTGAATTCAAATGCAGTCGACAGTCGTTCTTTAGACGCAGGAAATCAGAGGAGACACTGAGCCCTGGGGCTATTTTCACAGATAACCGGCTTTGAGATAGTTATCGTAAATGTCAACTCCGGAGCCTGGAAACCAACCCCACCTTTTTGTTCCCTTCTTTTTTTTTCTCTTCCCTATACCCTTCAGTGATCATAAAAGCAGGATAAAATATCTATTAAGCAGATGTGTGTTTGAACTGGTAATCTGGGGGTTGTTCTCTTTAATGGCAAATGAAAGCTGGATCCTACCTGAGGATTTGGCTGCGTTAGTCGTGCTCTGCACTCTGATGTTCCCAGGCTTTTCCCTTCTGGAGCTCTGACCAGGGAGTTTGCATTTGAAAGGATCTTCCTCTGGCTCTGTCAGAACTCGGCTCAGGGAGGAAGTTGAAAGTCCTGGATGCTGCTCGAGTCATTTACAGCAGCAGCTTTGAAGCTTTTGCACACAGGTTGGGAGCTGGGAGGGAGCAGAAGTGTTGGGAGTGGAAGCAAACTGGAAACAGCTCCATCTGGGAATGGTAGGGTGAGGTGACCTGGCCAAAAACCCACTCAGTGGGATCCTGGTGGAGTCTGCCTGGGAGCTGAGGGAGAAGAATCAGCAGCCTCAGGTGTTCTGCCTGTGGGTGAGAAGAGGAAGCCTGATGGTGCCTCCCTCTAACACAGGGCCCTGCTGCGAATCTGCTCTGTGCTGTGGTGTTGTTGATTCTCCAGCCATGTGGCATCAGAGCCCACTCAGCTGTTTGTCAGACTGTGCCTGGGGATCCTTTAAGGAGGAGCTGGATGTGCTCCCTCCTCTGAGCTGTTTCTGGCCAAGGATGATCCAGGGATTAACAGAGCCAGTGATGGGGACAAAATCTGGGCAGAATAACTCCTTTATCTGCCCCAGTAAAGAGCAGGGCCCGATTCTCCAGCCATGTGGCATCAGAGCCCACTCAGCTGTTTGTCAGACTGTGCCTGGGGATCCTTTAAGGAGGAGCTGGATGTGCTCCCTCCTCTGAGCTGTTTCTGGCCAAGGATGATCCAGGGATTAACAGAGCCAGTGATGGGGACAAAATCTGGGCAGAATAACTCCTTTATCTGCCCCAGTAAAGAGCAGGGCCCTGGAGGGGGAATTCTGATCCCTGCCCAGTCAGGGGACAGGGGACACAGCTCACAGCCCTGTTATTACCCCAACCAGGTGTGTCCCTGGCTGCTCCCCAACCTCACTGCCCCCTGCCCTGTCCCCACAGGATCAGCTACATCCACCTGATGGCTCACTTCAGGATGCACACCCAGATCAAGAGCCAGACAGCAGCTCTCATCAGTGGCTTCAGGTCCATCATCAAGCCCGAGTGGATCCGGATGTTCTCCGCGCCCGAGCTGCAGCGACTCATCTCCGGGGACAACGCCGAGATCGACCTCGAGGACCTCAAGTAAGTGAGCAGCTCCTCCCCCTCGGCAAGCCAGGGAGCTGGTTTGCTTTATTCCTTTTGATTTCTGCCTTCCATTGATTCGTTTCATGAGCCTTTCCATCACTGAGCTTATTGGAGCTTTGCAAGGGATTGGCTTGTCCACAACATCCTGCTCCTCCTTACTGAAACGTGAGGAACAGACAGAAATAAACCTGAGGAACATGTTCCTTACAGCTAATTTGGTCAAAGTGCTAATAAATGGGAAGGGTCCTTTCTTCCACGGTTCCTGGGAGCAGAATTTCTCTCTGTCCTTCCCTTTCCTCTGCTCAAGTGCCCAGTAAATGCTGGTATTGGATGGGGTTTGGAGCAACCTGGGCTAGTGGAAGGTGTCCCTGCCCATGAGGCAAGATGAGCTTTGAGATCTCATCCAGCCCAAACCATTCAATGGTTAACCCTCCCAGCAGTGCCCCTCCTGCTGCAGTGAGTCACAAGGTTTCTCTCCCCAGAAAACACACAGTGTACTATGGAGGCTTCCACGGGAGTCACCGGGTCATCATCTGGCTGTGGGACATCCTGGCCAATGACTTCAGCCCTGAGGAGAGAGCCATGTTCCTCAAGGTGAGTGAGGGATCCTTCCTGCCCAGCCTGGGGCTTGGGGAGGTCTCCTCCAGTGAGCTGGGTGCTTGCTGCACAAACAGAAGAGCAAAATGACTGCACTGCCAGGTTACCCTCACTGCTGCCATCCTCACTGTCCTTCACTGTCCCAGTTTGTTACCAGCTGCTCCAGGCCTCCACTTCTGGGCTTTGCCTACCTCAAGCCTCCGTTTTCCATCCGCTGTGTGGAAGTCTCTGATGACCAGGTAGGCATCCTGCTTGCTCCTGGCTCAGCCATTCCCTGCCTGGCTTCCCCCCCTCTGTCTGACCAGGACATGCTTAAGGCAGGAAGATTAGATGTTAAGATTAGATATTGGGAAGGAATTCATCCCTGTGAGGTGCTGAGGCACTGGCACAGGCTGTCCAGAGCAGCTGTAGGTTTGAGGGGTGGTTTTCCCAGTGCCAGATTTGGGGTTTGGTTTCCCAGTGCCACGTTTGGAGTTTTCCTTTCCCAGTGCCAGCTTTTGGGGGTTGTTTTCCCAGTGCCCAAGCCCCGTGCCAGGAGCTCAGGGCAGGTTGAGGTGACCCTTTGTGCCTGTTGCAGGACACAGGGGACACACTGGGCAGTGTCCTCAGAGGCTTCTTCTTCACCAGCCGCAAGAAGGAGCCTGGCGGGCGACTCCCAACCTCCTCCACCTGCTTCAACCTCCTCAAGCTTCCCAACTACAGCAAGAAGAGCATCCTGAGGGAGAAGCTGCGTTATGCCATCAGCATGAACACTGGTTTTGAGCTGTCCTAGTCCTGGAGCCGCCACCGGAGCCAGGTGTGCGCGGAGCAGGGAGCGGAGCCGCCTCGCTCCAGGGCTGGGCACCTGCAGCTGCTGAGAGAGGTTAGCAGGGATCCAGGGAAGAGCTGCTGGGCTCAGGGCTGGCTCTCCCTGGGCACGGCTCCAGGCTGGAGGAGGTGATGGGCCTGACCCAAACCACTTCACTTGACACCCAAGTAAATCGTCTTCAAAGCGAACCCCAGGGAGGCACAGAGGAACAGTGGAAGTGCCACTCAGATTAGTGACAGTGAGACACCCCCCAGCAGGCTGGGCAGCTGCTGCCAGGGGAGGACTGCCTTCCCCTTTCCCAGGAGCTGCTCTGGGTGGGAAGGAGTCTGTGGGGAGCTGCACAGAGGTGCCAGAGCCCACAGGAGACGAGCTGGAGGTGGAAGCAGCATTGGATGTGCCCCAGATGGGCACTGCTCACTCAGGACAAGGTACTGCAGGGGAGCTCCAGGTGTCCCTGCTCTGTGCATGGCCCTTGGTGTGCTCAGAGAAGGAAGCACATTCCCAGAGCTGGGAAGCAGCAGGTTAAACACGAGCAGATGGACCTGTGGCTCTCAGGAAGGTGTGGGAGTGCGGGAGGTTAAGAGCTGGAGCAGCAGGCGTGGGGTCAGCGTGCTGAGCCAGCTGTGCCTCTGCCAAGCTCCTGCCAGAGCCTGGATTGGGATGGAAAGGCTTGTCTCGATTTCTCAGGAGCATGAAAGGTTTCATTTGACTAGTTTCCAGAGCACAGGAGCTGGTCCAGGGCTGGGGCAGCCCCTGCTGCCAGCACAGAGCTCAGGTGGGGCAGGTGTCTCCTGCTCTGGAACAGGGGGAAAAAGTGTGGACTCCTCTGGAAATCTCCCCTGGAAAAATCCCTCTTGGATGGAATTTTCACTTTGTTTGCAGGCCCTTTGTTAGGAACATGTGCTGTTCCCACCCAGGACTGAGCCTCTGTGTAACAGCCACATTTGCTTTGTTGCCAAACTATTTATTTTGGTCACTTTTGTCTCTTTCTGGCCTTACTTTCCAGAGTTGCTGTTTGCCTGTAGCAGGAAGCTTTTAGGGGGTGCAAGTGGTGTGTGATGGGAAGGTGTGAACTCTCCCTGCCATTTCTAAGCCCAGAGAGACTTGTAAAGTGTCTCTGCAGCTTCCCACCTTGGTCCCTCGTGCTGCTGTGGGTCCTGTCTTGGCCTGGGTCAGGTGAGACTGGGATGCTCCTGGGCTGTCCTATCCCTGCTGGGATTCTGGCGCAGAGGAAAGCCATGG